TTAGATTTATTTTAAATGTAATTGATCAGACTTGATCAAAATCAATCGTTAAGTTTAGATTCTTTCTCAAGCTTGTTTTGGCGAAAGCTTGCCACCATTTGAGTAAAACTCAAAATCAACTCCTCAAGATCTACAAATTCAACTTTCCCAAAAATGAAACGAGTTTATGTAATCTTTTTGGAGGTTTTCATCTTTCTCATGGGTTCTCTTTCTAAACTTGATCATCAGAACGTTTAACCGTCCTAAATTAATACAAGGAAAACATATATAGCTAAAGAAAAAGAAAGATACCTAGCTAATGACGTAGGAGTATAGAGGGGGTAGTAGGATAAGGTAGAGGATGGCAAACTCAACATTTAAAAGGGCCTTTCAATGGCAAGATAACAGGCTAGCTAGCTCCCACAAACTTGTGAAGAGAGACCTAGAGATTAATTGAGAGAAATTCCAGCTTTGAGATGTGACATTTTGGTGGCCTTTGAATTAATTATATAATAACTGTAGACGTGGAGGACTGGTAGCTTTTTCTTTTTCTATTTTCTTGGATCTCCCTTTCTCTCAACTTTTTAATTAAGGATCACTACCGATCACCCTTAAATCACATGCATCAGTTAACGTCTGAGTCTACAGTTTGTTCATATCAAATTCTGTTAGAATAAATTAAAATAAAAATGTTAAAAACTACATAACTAATTATTTTATATTAATTTTTCAATTTTTAACTTTGCTATTAAAATTTAATTCTTGCATGTTCATGCCATTTAATTATAAAATTGATATAAGCTTAATAGCTTGGAAGTTACATACTAATATATTTTAAAGCCTATTATTTAAGATTCATTAAGATGGTGTCTATAAAACAAAGTAGATGTTTTTGATAGAAAGAAGAGAGTTTTACCATCTTTTCTATATGCTTCTCTTCTACCAAGTGTTGCTATTATTTCTACATATTTCTTTGTGCCCATTATTACATTTGCATACCTACAAATATTTGGTATTAGTTTATTACAGACAACTTCGATTCAAGTCAAGTTCACTCTTCCTTCCAGTGGACGTGACCATTGAGGAGGTGCTGCTGCGAGCGTCTGGGTTTGATCTTGGAGTCGCTGGTGTCCGTCAATATCCTCACGCGGGGAGGCTCAGTTGCTTTAAGACAGTGTTCACACGACTCTCAAACTCGCAGGCTAACTTTTTTCTAATTTATAGTCTCTATTTTATTCTATTCTAAATTGATTGATAATTTATATTTATTTGTATATTCTTGTTAGTTTATAATCTGAATATTATTTTGATTGAGTAAAATTATGTTAATTTCTCCAACAAACTCCACACCATTGGATTACCCGTGCAAGTTATTTTATTTGTGGAATATATATATGTGTGTGAGTGTGCGCGCGCGCGCTCTTCTTCAACTTTTTTTTTTTTTAATCAAGTCCTCTTCTTCCGCTAAGTTCTTGATATAGATGGCGTATCAACCATAAAACAATATTAAGTCTACACTTTAAATGACCTCTTGTTGATTTGTATTTGATACTTTTTGATTTTATAAACTTCCATGTTTTAATTCCATGGCCTTAATATGAGTTCAATTAAAGGTTAATTGTCATTCTAAATATATTCAAATACCATATTAAAAATATTGGACCCCAACAATATAATGACATCTAATAGAGATAAAGTTGCAAGTAGTTTTACCCCCAATTCACAAAAATTAATCCAAACACTCAAATTTGTGACATATCATTAAGATGAATGCCTATCGGCCATGTTGCGACATTCGTCCTCTCTCGAGATATATTAAGATGTATGAGATAGTATAACATGGCAGATAAGCCGATGTGTGTGAACTTCGCTCCTTGTAGCTTTACATTGTCGTCAGTCACTTTCGTTCATCTACCCTATCCGTTTAGTTATTCTTTGAAAGTAAAGCACGTGACTCGATAGCGAGGCATAAGACCTTTGAAAACGAATTGGATCTTGGCTCGTTGTTTCGCCGATGAACCAACTAGAAATAAAAAGGGAAAACAATAGAAAGAGGTTTTCTTTCCTCCCTCTATTTGTCTTTTTCTCGCTGTTTTTCTTGTTCATCTTACTCTGTGTCACTTACAGATTAGTTGCAGGTATCTAAGCATTCATTAATTAAAAAAGTTAGGGCGTAGAGTGCGAGAAAACGACATCAAAATGAGATATAACATAAATTGATTATCGTCACTTAGAAAACTATCACCGCTTTTAGATATGTGCATTTATTACAATTGGCAAGAATTAAATTAGAATTATTTTTCGAATCTCATTTCATGTTGTATTTTGAACCGTGCATCTCATAAATACATCATTTATATAATTTTTACCTTGAATCTTAGGTCAAAAAGAGGAAAAATAAAAATGAAAGAGTAATGCTATGTTGACCAAATTTTAGAATCAAATTTAGAGTCCAAATAATATGACAGCATATTATTTGGAGTTTTGATTGGGGCCCATATGACATGACATCAAATAAAGAAGTCCAAATTAACTGTTATGTCATTTGAATTTTAAATTTAATTCTAAAATTTGATTAACATTACCGGAAAAGAAATTCAAACGATAACATTCATGTGGCTCAAACCATTACATATCCAATAGATAACAATCATGTGGCTCAAACCATCAGTTTTTCAATTAAGAATGTGTTGATCTAAAGTGAAGACTGGTTTTCAATCAGAGCAAAGAACCCGGTCAGCATGACACAGCCAGGGGGAGTCTAACCCGTGACCCACAATAATCGGAGCGTGTATCCTACGTGGCAGATTGGGCCCACGGGTTGTCACAGTGCCCGGCCGGTCCATGAAAGTCGTTGACTAAGACTGAGCTGTTCATTTAGTAGCCCGTAGTCACGAGTAAGTGGCGGGCCAATTGGGGCGGTGAATTTCTTTGGGAACGCGTCTATCTCATTAGCTTTGACAAACCCCAGATGTAATCAATGTCAATTTTAACCCCCTAAGTGGACCCCACTGATAGAGAATGGGTCCCACTGCCAGTTGTCGTATTGACGGACCACCACCACCCCCCTAACGTCACTTGCTTCCATTTTTCTCTTCCAACGTCTTCTCTTTTCTCATTGTTTGTTTCTTCTTTTGGGCTTTTATTTTGTTTTTTTCCTTGGATTTTGTGGGTATTTTATCATTCTAAATTCATTTCTACACTCTTTTTTTTTTCTTTTTTTTAGATATTTAAATTAATTCATATCAACTTTCTCACTTTTACCTACAAATTGAGTGATACAACACGCCATGATCTGGGTTTATAATTTTATCTTTGAACCGTCAATATAACGATATTTTTATTATTTTTTGAAAACTACATATAATTTAATATGTTCATATCTTATTCTATTAAATGTAGGCCTAAAACAAAACTTTATGTGAAAAACTTAAGGAATGTACAACACAAAAATATCAATTACTCCTCAAAAAAAAAAAAATTGTAAATATGAGAAATCTAATAATGATATGACGCGCATGCATAGCACTTGTCCATGTGTCTGTTTTTTTTATTTTTTTTAATATGGTGAGATAAATTTTTGGACAAATTTTATTTTGTTCCTTGAAAGATAGAAAAACTTTCAAATTGTACCTCGAATAGCGGATGACGAAATAAAAATAAAATTATGGATCATATTACAACATTTTTATTTATTTAAAGAGATAATGTAGAAAAATTAATTATTTAGAGGGTAAAGTGAGAATTTTTGTATCTTTTAGAGGACAAAATGAGATATTTCCTAAATTTTATTTCAAAGTAATATTTTGTTTTTTTTTTCAATTTTTTTTTATTATGGGAACAAAATGAAATAAAAAATGGTAGCCAAGAGAAATTGTGGTGAAAAGTAGAAGATAAAGGGACCAGAAGGCAGGAGTAGAATGAATCAGACCCTTCTCTCTCCAAAATCAAATCCCATCGTCTTCTCTTCAAACAAATCTATAAAAACACCTTCGCCTCTGTATTTGGTCTTCCTTCTTCAGTCTCAACCCCCCCTCTTTATAGCCGAGTCCATTGCACCGTTCCAACACCTCTCTCTCTCTCTCTCCATCTGTTTTTCTTGATATATGGCCAGAGGAAGTGGACTCTCCTTTGATCTAGATCACATAAGACACTTCCGTCACAAGCCCACTGTGATTGATTCTTTTCCAGAATACAAAACCAACCACAATCACCAGTTCTACCACCACAGATTGAAGCTTGAACCAGTAATCATGGAAGGTTCAGTCAATGATAGACAGTCATCACCACCACCCACTATTCAATTCCCAGTGAATCTGAACTGCACCCATGATCAGGAAGGTCCTNGGTTTATAATTTTATCTTTGAACCGTCAATATAACGATATTTTTATTATTTTTTGAAAACTACATATAATTTAATATGTTCATATCTTATTCTATTAAATGTAGGCCTAAAACAAAACTTTATGTGAAAAACTTAAGGAATGTACAATACAAAAATATCAATTACTCCTCAAAAAAAAAAAAAATTTAATTACAATATTAAAGAAAAATTTGTAAATATGAGAAATCTAATAATGATATGACGCGCATGCATCGCACTTGTCCATGTGTCTTTTTTTTTTATTTTTTTTAATATGGTGAGATAAATTTTTGGACAAATTTTATTTTGCTCATTGAAAGATAAAAAAACTTTCAAATTGTACCTCGAATAGCGGATGACGTAATAAAAATAAAATTATGGATCATATTATAACGTTTTTATTTATTTAAAGAGACAATGTAGAAAAATTAATCATTTAGAGGGTAAAGTGAGAATTTTTGTATCTTTTAGAGGACAAAATGAGATATTTCCTAAATTTTATTTCAAAGTAATATTTTGTTTTTTTTTTCAATTTTTTTTTATTATGGGAACAAAATGAAATAAAAAATGGTAGCCAAGAGAAATTGTGGTGAAAAGTAGAAGATAAAGGGACCAGAAGGCAGGAGTAGAATGAATCAGACCCTTCTCTCTCCAAAATCAAATCCCATCGTCTTCTCTTCAAACAAATCTATAAAAACACCTTCGCCTCTGTATTTGGTCTTCCTTCTTCAGTCTCAACCCCCCCTCTTTATAGCCGAGTCCATTGCACCGTTCCAACACCTCTCTCTCTCTCTCTCCATCTGTTTTTCTTGATATATGGCCAGAGGAAGTGGACTCTCCTTTGATCTAGATCACATAAGACACTTCCGTCACAAGCCCACTGTGATTGATTCTTTTCCAGAATACAAAACCAACCACAATCACCAGTTCTACCACCACAGATTGAAGCTTGAACCAGTAATCATGGAAGGTTCAGTCAATGATAGACAGTCATCACCACCACCCACTATTCAATTCCCAGTGAATCTGAACTGCACCCATGATCAGGAAGGTCCTGTTCATTCCGATGATAAACGGAAGGTCATCGATGAGATGGACTTTTTTGCCAAGAACGAAAATGATGATCGGCCCAAGACAGAAACAAACGATGAAGATAGAAAAGATTTGATGAGTGGACCAACTGGATTGGATTTCAATGTCAATGTAAGCTACTTAGTTTGACTATGTTTTGTCCGTTTTTGCTTCTGCTCGTGAGGTTTTCGATAGTTTGACGCACTGAATTGTGTTATGTTCTTTACTTTTATAGACTGGCTTGCACCTTCTCACTGCAAACACTAGTAGTGATCAGTCGATAGTGGATGATGGAGTATCGCCAAACTCTGATGATAAAAGAGCTAAAAGTGAGGTAAGATCATGAATTTGCACCAAACTCTATCATTGGTTTTGTTTGTACACCGTGGGGGTTGGGGTTTGTTAGATTTTGGTTTTCATGATCTTCATTTATGATCAAAGTCACTGAAATCTGAATTTTGCTTGTTTTAGCTGGCTGTTCTTCAAGCTGAGCTCGAACGAATGAACAACGAAAACCAACGTCTGAGAGAGATGCTCAATCAGGTTACCGGAAATTACAGCACTCTTCAGATGCAATTGGTAACACTGATGCAGCAACAACAGGATCAGAGAGCCGATAACACTGATCAAGAACCCGATCGAAAAGTCGAAGACAGTCAAAACAATGGTCATGAAGGACTAATAGTGCCTAGACAATTCATGGATCTTAGGCTAGCTGGTACTGCTGAGACAGATGAGCATTCACTGTCTTCGTCAGAGGGAAGAAACCGCAAACGATCCCGATCTCCGGTGAATACTAATGACAAGGAATTTAGTGCTGGAGGGAATGGAAGAGATGATAGCCCAGATCAAGGGTCTCAAGGTTGGGGTCCTAACAAGGTCCCAAGGTTGAACCCTTCAAAAGATGTTGATCAAGCTACCGAGGCCACGATGAGGAAAGCCCGAGTCTCAGTTAGAGCCAGATCAGAGGCACCAATGGTATGCAATTGGATTAAATTGGGAATTCAATAACTAGATGAGCTTAGATTTAATTGTTTTCAGGTGAATTAATTGGAATTCTGTTGGTTTCAGATCACAGATGGATGCCAATGGCGAAAATATGGACAGAAGATGGCCAAAGGAAACCCTTNATTGGGAATTCAATAACTAGATGAGCTTAGATTTAATTGTTTTCAGGTGAATTAATCGGAATTCTGTTGGTTTCAGATCACAGATGGATGCCAATGGCGAAAATATGGACAGAAGATGGCCAAAGGAAACCCTTGTCCTCGTGCCTATTATCGGTGCACCATGGCCGCTGGTTGCCCGGTTCGTAAACAAGTATGTGATTCATTTGATCTTCATCTCCCTTGACTCCAAGAAAATATTACTGTGTTACTATATATGGTAAAAACTGTGTTGCTGAGTTTATAACTGACTTTTGTAGTTATACATAAGTATCAAGGCTTTTCTGTTTACGGACTCAATTTTCCCTTATGTGATTCTTAAAACAAGTAGATGCTAGTGTACCACAACCACCTGTTTTCTTGTTGGAATAATTAAATGGCAGTGTCAACTTGTTTGGATAGACAGTTTCATATTTTTAGATGCAATAAGTTGTGTTAAATTCTTTTTCCATCATCAAGTAAATAACTCCTAAATCGTGCAGAATTCTAGTGCCTATCATAAAAATTTTGTTTTCTTCCTTGTAATATGAATCTTGGCTCATTAATTCACAGGTCCAAAGATGTGCAGAAGATCAAACGATCCTTGTAACTACATACGAAGGCAATCACAACCACCCATTGCCTCCAGCAGCCATGGCAATGGCCTCGACAACATCATCAGCAGCAAGAATGTTACTTTCGGGATCAATGCCAAGTGCTGATGGGCTAATGAACTCGAATTTCCTAGCGAGGACGCTCCTACCTTGCTCATCTAGTATGGCTACAATTTCTGCCTCGGCTCCATTTCCTACTGTTACATTGGACCTAACACAAAGTCCGAACCCATTGCAATTCCAAAGGCCACCAACCCAATTCCAAATCCCCTTCCCAAATGCACCTCAAAGTTTTGCTGGCACACCAGCCTCTCTTTTGCCTCAGATATTTGGCCAGGCATTGTATAATCAATCCAAATTTTCCGGCCTGCAAATGTCCCAGGACATGGAAGCTAGCCAGTTAGACCACCAGGCACCACCAATGCACCAAACACAGCAGAACTCATTGGCAGACACCGTGACCGCCCTCACCGCTGATCCAAATTTTACTGCAGCTCTAGCAGCAGCCATAACATCCATCATTGGCGGCAATTCTCAACCAAATAATCTTGCCAAAAACAACACCAATGTCACAACAACCACCAGCAACAACAACAATGGCAGCGTTACTACTAGCAACAACAACAGTAACAACAAAGTTGCGAATTCGAGTTTTCCGGGGAATTGAATATGAATCTGATTTCTCTTGTTGGGTCAAATTTTGGGTTTTTATTTCTTTGCCCTTTCTTTTCATTGGGAGGTTGGAAAATGAGATTATACACGTTTATTTTTGGGGGTAGTGGAGATGTGTTAGAACATAGATTTTTCATTCTTTCTTGTTTGAATAATGTGAGCTTGCTGTACACATGAAATTGTAGAAGCAAACAAAAGAGATGCATATTAAAAATTTTTTGTACGGATCCGGAAATTTTGTGGAAAAGCTTGTCGATATTATCCTTCCTGTTCTTGTCAATATTCTTTGTAATTTTCTGCGCATGAAGCCAAAAAGATAGAAAAAGAAAGGAACACGGCTAGAGATAAAAGAAATCAATGAANATATTATCCTTCCTGTTCTTGTCAATATTCTTTGTAATTTTCTGCGCATGAAGCCATAAAGATAGAAAAAGAAAGGAACACGGCTAGAGATAAAAGAAATCAATGGAAACGGTTTGAAATATTCTTTCCTTGGTGTTACTTGGTGCTGGTGGTAATTTTGAAGTCCCCACAGATTATGGCAGTCAAGGGAGGAGTCAAAAATATCGCCTCAAAGTTGTTAGAAACAGAGGGATTTGTTTGACGAGAGAGAGAGAGAGAGAGAGATTTGGTTGCTTGTCTCATGTGAATTTGTCCTTTAGCTTTTAGTGGTCCCCACAATGACATTGGGGTAGGAGAATCAATCCAATTTTAATAACTTCAACACAGATTGAAAGATATTTTTTCTATGATACTAAATTTTAGAAAAATTACATTCGCACTCCTTCTTTGACATTTACAATATTGTACACAAATGTTTTGAGATTTGTGCACGCATAACCCTTCTGCCCTGTTTTATGTTATATATATTTCGTTAAAATTATTATGGTATGACCCTTGGGATGGCATAGTCTAAAAGGTCGATTCTATACCAAAATGACTACTCAAAAATATTAATTTCTGAGTAAGATTACGGTCTTGCGTATAGTTATTGATTTGAATTGAATTGAATAATTTGTAAATTTTGATTAAAAAATTAAATTAATAAAACCATAATCGAACTCCTAAAGGTTGGAAGTTAGAACGTGCATGAAATTTGTCCACTCATAGGTCCACGGAGGACCTAAATTATAAAGTCTCAACGAGTAACTCAAGTTATAAGAGTGACGAATTATAAATTTAAATATTTTGAGTTTGAATTTTGGCATACCATTGAGATTAGATCATGAAGAATTTATTTAGCATGAATACTATAATCCCGACGTAAATGACCTGTATTTGACTAAACCAAAAAAAATAATAATTAAAATATGCATAAGTTGACCAAGACATCCCATTGTTGAACCAAAAAAAAAAAAAACTATACAGCCAATGAAATTGGACCACTATGTGCCTGTCACATTTTTAAAATTATTTAAGAGACTGTACTTGTGGGTGTCCCAGACTCTCTTTCCATATGAGCCAATTGTTACAACAAGGGACAAATTTATACTATTAATAAAAGGAGACGGTAGATTTAATATCATCTTTTTTTATTAATTAACAATGCATTATGTGCATTACACTTAAATTTTTTTATTGAAATATTTGATAAAATACATAAAAAAAAATCTAATAATATAGTAAAATTAGATATTATCTTATATTTATCATACTTAAATTATTTGTATTCTCTTTATAACTATTAAAATTCAATTGACTCATTTTTTGTGATTCTTTCATTCCGGTTATCAAATAGTAAGGGTTATAGATTTTTTTTTTTTGATTTTTTTTTGTTTTTCTTGTTTTACTGTGTGCCTCAATAGTTTTTCACTAAATTATTTTGATTGTGAATGAAAAAAAAATTATATATATCCATTTTTTGGCATTAGAGATGTTTCAATAATTTTTTACTAAATTATTTTGATTGTGAATAAAGAAAAAAGCTACACATATTTATTTTTAGGCATTAGAAATGATAATGTATCAATAGAGTTATGGACATGTATTAATATTTGGATTTTGAAAAAAAAAAAAGAATAATACTTTTTTATATATATCTTGTTAAACATAACTATTCAAAAGTTTTACAAAGATAAATAGATTTATATGATTTGTTAGAGATTAATTTCTTATTTAAATACATAGGGATATAATAATAATTTATATATTTAAATACACAATGACATGTTAACCTTTATAGTTTTTTATAAAGATAAAATAGTGAATAAATTTTTTTTCATGTTATGGTACTTTTAATAGTAGTATAGATACTTATTAGTAATTTTCCAACAAAAAAAAAGATTGTTATTAGTAATAAATTAGAAGTTCATTATTAATATTTAATCTTTTTATTTAATCACCTATAAATTCTCCAGCATCATATTGAATTGTCTATAATTTTCTCTCTACCATTTTTTTTAAAATGGTATTTAAATTTGTGTTGATTATTCTATCGAGTTTGAATATTGGCCACTGTAGTTCGAACAGGTTTAAAACATGCCTCTTGAGAAATAAGAATGACTGGTGTTTAAGAGTATGAAAATTGTTGAACCTAAAACTACTAGATTACCGACAGCCAAACTTGATCACTTAACTATCCCTAAGAATCTCTTTCTGCCATACTTACCCACCTAAATTTATCTAATTTAATTTATTTTTACAGGATGTACACTGTCCCTAGTAATAGAATCTTAGTCTGAGTCATTTGACCATGCTGTTAATTTAAACCTAACAACCCTTTTGTTGTCCAATGCAACCAAATCTGAATAGAACTAACGAAGTTTCCTTCCAACTTCTAGTAATTGTTGGTGGTTGAGAATAATATTCAAATTAACTGTCTGTTTGCTCAAGATACCAAGCGTCGGCATCGGCCGGCCTAGATAACCACTCGTATCTGTCCACGGGCCAAACCATTGGGCCATCGACTCATCAATGTCCTGACCCATCCACGACTTCCATATCCAGCCGGTCCCCAATGGGCCTTTAAACTGATCATAATCGAGCTTTTTATTTGTAATATTTAAAGGGAAAAACGTGTGCACTACACTTTTATGCACTGTTTAGTAGAAATGATAGAAAGGAAGAAAGAAAAAAAGTAGGAAGGATAGACTTTTTTTCCTTTATATTTTGTTGGATGAATGAAAAATAAAAACGACTCATTTTTTTTAATTTTTCTTTTGGGTTGGTTAAGATTAGGGGTGACAATCGAGTTGTGTCGTGTCAAATTCATGTTGAGTCATAAAATTATGAGTCTTTTATATTTCTTGTTCGCGTGTCAAGTCATTTTTAAGTTTATGTTGAGTTATAATCAAGTTCGTGTCATAAAATTCTTGTCGAGTTCGAGTCTTGTTATCGTGTTGAGTCAAAAAATTTCACCCTTAGTTAAGATGAAAAAAATAATTTTTTTAATTTAAAATTTAAATTTTTTATTTTAAATTTAATTTTTTTTAAAAAATATATATATATATATATATATTTTATCATTATATTTTTATATGAAATTAATGTATACATAATATATGTATATATTAAAAGATATATAGACAAATAAGATACATTTCAACACAAATAACTAATTTTTCATCCACTTTCCTTCTGATTTTTGAGGGATTGATTCGGTGAGTTAGAATGAAAATTAATCCATCCATTTTTTTATTCTTCATATTTTCATTCCTTATTAAATATGATGTTTTATTTATCCCTCCCTCCAACTTTTTCATCTTTTTAACTTTTCATCCTTCCATTTTTTCATTATAACAAACAGAGCATTAAAAAAATTTATTAGGGTAAAAGTCCATTAAGAGAACTATTTTGTTAAAAAATCCATGAGGTGTGCAAAATATTTATTCTAGCCTTCTGTTGACGTTATAGTGCATAACCAGTATTAGGAAACTGTCGACCATATCTACGGTTTCTGAATCTTAAAAGTCTCCACCTTAAGCGACCGACATTTGCATGATTCAAGTAAAAGACCTTAAATTAAAAAAAAAAAAAAAAAAAAAAAAAATTTAA